ATAGTTAGTCCATCATTTCCCCCTTTCATCTATGTCAATTACTCTTTCCAACCAATATGATTGCTCCATGTTTCCTACGTCTTCTTCTTTTACAGCTTCTTCTATCAATTTCAATAAATAGCTTTTATGTTTAATACAAAAAGGTTCAGGGGTAATTTTGGCCATCCCAAAGTCTAAACATTACACCAACGGGGGCTGACACTTAATTTTAGCTGCAATTCTTACGCCAATCGACAAAAATGTCGCTGTCGTCATCTAACAGGAGCAGTAGCGATTTTGCAAGTTAGCAACACCTTTTTCCTCCATTTAATTGTATGTAAAACAATCGATTCTTGGTGAGGCAGCTTGTCTCACCTAAAATCGATATTTTTAGTGCATTTAAATGGAGAAAAAACAGTGTTGGCAACTTGCAAAATCGCCACTGCTCCTGTTAGGAGCCGACGACAGCAAGTGAAATGCCGAGGCCGGCTCTCGGTCTAGCCTCGCCCCGGACTTGTTCAAATAAGCGCTGTCCGCCACCGAAGCTTCTTCCTCCCTCTTGAACGTAATTTTATTCCTTCGAGAGGGTTTTTTCCGGTAGACCGCGGAGTAAAGCCGTCTTCTCTGACCCCGTTCCTGTGTCGCGCCGTCAAGGCTCCTAAGTGGCGAGCCATGTCCATTTCCTGCATGGACGAAATTCGCCGAGCCAAAGTCCCGATCGTAATGTAATTCGAATTTCCTTTGCATGAAATTTCCCAGGCTACTTTTCCAGACGCTGTCTCCTATTTTTCCTCCCACTGTCAAGCCCGTTTCGTGGGATGGGTCATTAGAGTTCTTCTAACCGTACCGTGCTAAGGGAAAACGCCTTATGCAAGTTCAAATGTCGCCAAATTTCTCCCTGTAATATGTTTATTTCTGAAATGTTGTGTTGTTGAGATGTTCAAATACCTTAGAGATAATCGAGCATCAATCTCTCCGAATATTGGGAGAAAATTTCCCCTTTTTCAAAAAAAATTGTGGTTTATCGGAATAAATTTGGCAATGCCCGAAGACTCATACAGCGTTCTTCTTTGAAGGCTTTAGCTGGGGAAGAGCTTCGTATGAGCTTTTGGACGGTACATTCTTTGATGTAACACAAGCGTTCTCGGAAACTTGTGAATATTGCTCTTTCAACCTGAGGAAAATTATATTCTCGATTTGATTTAAAAATCTGATAATGTTTAGGAAGAGTATTCATAACTTTCCGGAAAAATAATTTTCAATCGGTGGAATATTGTTAGTAATATTGTTAGTAAGCTTAAATATTCTTACGTCGTTTTTCCACAGCGCGTCAGCGAACGGAGACTAAGTCTAAACCCTTTGTTTTCATCGACGCAGTATTCATCGAATCAGTAGATTTTATTTGAAGAGAATGCATGCCACAAAAACTTCGAAGAAGTGGACTTTTTCTGCTTCCTTAAAAACTATGTGCTCTTACTATGACGACTTACTCAATTTTGGACTTCTCGTTTTTTAAAAATTATAATTTGAGACAAACTGAACAATAGTTCGTTGTTACTACGGGTTGAAATGAAAATTGTGCTGAGATTATTTTCCCAATGGCCGTGGGGAATTGGAACAGGTGGGTTACAAATTACGGAAATTTTACACCGAAAAAAATTAGGATGCTGTATTTACTTCCTAATTTAAAAAAAAAAAGTGATCAACAACCTCTAAAAGTTTGTCTCAGCTGCCCCTGCAGTTGACATACCTTGTCAGTTGTCATACCAATTTATCAGTGCGTATTTTCCTTCTTTTTTATCTATAAATTCAAAAGTATCTCTGTGAAAAAGATCTATTTTGTTCATGAAAACACGACCGCAACTGACCCTTCCGAAAAATTAGCACGTACGCCGTCCGAAAAGAGAAGGTGAACGAACGAAGCTCCGAGCTAATGAGGCGGAAAGAGGCTCCCGGCGCGAGGAACCCTGGGCCGAATGTGGCCTCCGACACTTTGGGAAGGGACAGGACAGGGCCCAGGGCCGCCGTTTTTGTTCCCCGCGGACTCAATTACCTGTCGTAATTAAAAGTCTGCAGACGGCAGAGCCGCAGACAGCAGACGCCGATGCGGTCGTCCGGGGAGGAATATGACGCAATCCGAGGGCACTCGAAGGGGGAGCCGCGTAAGCCACGGCTCACAGTGGAAAGACCCTTCCGTAGAACTTGAACATCCTGCAAGTGCGGATGTTTATTTCGTCATATAAGTTACTGCAGGGTGTGCCCTCTGACCGCAACGCGGTCCAGCGGGTTGTTTTCAAATTAATAGACAAAGGAAAAATGTAGCTATCCTATTGGTTAAAATAGGTGGATGGATTTGACAAAGGATACACGGAAAAAAAAAGAATTGCTGATTCAGCAATTCAATTGCTATTTCAGCAATTCAATTGCTAAAAACAGTGAGTGCAACGTTTCAACGCAGATTTTACAACAAAAAAATGCTACTTTAACCACATTGCAAACTAATTTAACCACAATGTAAACTAATTTAACTACGGGGGTGGTTGAAGTAGCATTTTTTTGTTGTAAAATCAGCGTTGAAATATTGCACTCACTGTTTTTAGCAATTAAATTGCTGAATCAGCAATTCTTTTTTTTCCGTGAAGTAACAGACTAACTAACGGCATCCCACGAGAGACCCGTCAGTTAGTCCGTCATTTCCCCCCGTCTACGAAAAGCACCCGTCTCAACCAACAGGATCGCTCCATACTGTTTATGTTTCTTTGTCTATTGCTGTGTCTATCAATTTCAATAATCAGTCCCTTGGCCCGCTGTGTGGACCTCCATAAATTTATCTACGTAGAATGGGCTCACTTCGAGAATACATGTCTTGTCGATAACCGCACGATCATGAAAATCGGCCCAGTAGATCTATAGATGGAACTGTGATGAAAAATGAAAATAGAACTAAAATAAAGTTAATTCATTAAAGCCAGGTACTTACTATTACATTAGTTTACTTATTTAGTTTCCTTTAGTTTACCTACTTTAATTTAGTTTACTATGAAGATTGTAATTAGATGACTCTTTTTACTACGTGTTTCTCATTCTGTCGAGTTCGCCTTCATCTAGCGAGATGGCAATTTGAGCGACTTTGGAGCAAGAATAGTTGCATGCAGTAGTTTTGCTAATTTTGCTCAGTCTCGGCGACGGATACACGCCGATTATTACTCTTTTTACTGCTTGTTCTCATTCTATCGAGTGCGCCTTCAACAAGCGAGATGGCAATGTGTGCGGCTTCGGAGCTCGAATAGTCGCATGCAGTAGGTTTGCTACTTTTGCTCAGTCTCTGCGAGAAACACATGTCGATAACTCTGTTTGATGCAAGTTTCTTATGCTTTTGAGTTTGCCTTTAATAAGCTTAATAAACTGAACTAATTTTTTAATTCTTGTTTAAATAGAAAAATTAACAACTTTATCACGTCATATACATGAACCTGGAAAGTCCAAAATCTGAATAAAACAGGCTCATTCAGCGGCAGGAACCATCACCAGTCGATAGGTGCAAAATCATGGAAATCGGTCCAGTAGAGCGGTAGAATAAACTGTGACAAAAAATAAGAATTAATGGGCGCAGAAAGCTTGTAGAACTTTACGGGGGAGCTCTCTAAAAGAAATCTACCGAGAGAAGGGATTAAAACTTTTTTAAACCTCTAAGTCTCATATTAACAAGTATATTAGTTTGTAAAGTGTCTAAATCATGTCCGACCCATCTCGTCATGACCAGCCCTACTGTGCGGCCCCGAGATCAGGGGATGAAACGCCGATTGCTCAACTTCCATTGAATAAATCAGACGAGGTCAACCGCGACCCCTGTTGCGAAATTTCCGCAAAAAAAACCCTGTTTATAATCGTGGTTTCGAGGATACTGTTTGTGACGTGATATTGCGGAGTTTTAAGGTTGCAAGTGCGGGATTCCAGAGAGATTTGTCACCTAGGTTTGAGTTTTACTTCATGAGAGGTTTCAGTATTTGTTTGTGCTTCACCATGATACACGGTCGAATTTCAAGATCGAGGCATGTCGCGGCAAGGAGGGACGTGAATTATAACCTACGTCCATATAGGTACAAATGTCTGGGAGCTACTCTGATAAAAATGACCATGATGATGAGAAAAATATGGTAGTGTGGCAGTGCTTTATTAAGAGTTGACGGTAACACCGCACCAGCATGTCATCGATGGGGTACCGTACCATGGCTGAATCATTATATGCGACCACGATGCGACCGACACGGAAGCACTGACCTCATAGTGGTCTTTTTGACCAATTTGATAACACGCTGCTACCATGCGTTTTATATATTGTTATCAATATGACCGTTTTTAGCAGGGTTACCATATAACTTCACTTAAAAAATAAGATTCTATACACAAAAGACACTTATGCTTTCCTTAGGTAGTTTCTACCACAAGACTGTTAAGCACTGCTCGCATTGGATACTGATGAATTTGTTTGCCGTGGAAAGCTCCACTTTCGATTTTCCTGTATAATTCACAAGAAAAGTTTTGCTCCTGCTAAGACTCAACGCAAAAGATGAACTTCAAGTTCAATTTCTGCAAAATTTACTCCAACAAAAACTTTGAATTTTTGGCGGCAGTAGAGCAGTGGTTGAGTTCAAAACCACTCATAACTCAATTTTTCCAAAATGTGGGTTGGTTCCTTTCCGCATAACTCAGTCCATATTATGTCGACAGTATCTTGAAAATCAGGAACTTGATCAGCTTGTCGAGCCCCGGGACACCCTGTGCACCCAGGAAACCGTGAAGTGTGGAGCATTTTGGAAAAGATGAGAGACGGAGGGCATCCACATGGAGAAGCGGGTTGCTGTCCCCAGCAAGAACATCGTATCTGCATGTGGTTTCCAATTGGAGATACGAGGTTTTTGTGGCGCAGGGCAGCGTAGTACGAGAGTCTACCCTCTCGTTTGCAGGAAGCTCTGCAGGTATCGGTGGTCGAGCGCGGGCCGCGCTTCGGCGGGTCGAGTAGTCAGTCTCAGTAGTCGCCCAACTCCCAGCCCGTGCAGAGCGCCCTGTGTCCCGGTGCAGTGTTCGTGCTCTCGCAGCTTCTTCTCGCAGAATCGCTCCCTGTGTTTACGTTCGAGTGTGTTTCTTGTGCGTCTTGCTCGCGCTTTTAAAATTTTCGGGTCCTCGTGCACCCTGGATTATGTTGTGATTGTGAAAGACCGGTTTTTTTGGATTTTTTGGATTTTGGATTTTGGACCCGAGCGGGTTTCGGACGTTTGTTGAAAGCCGCTGAAGGATATTTTGCCGAACGAGCGAGTTAAGGTAATTGGAGCTGTCTCGTGTTTTTATCTGTCGGTGTTGGGTTTTTTGAAATTTTGAGTTCGGGTCCTTGTTTAATCTGGATTATGTTGTGATTTTGAAAGACGGATTTTTTGGATTTTGGATTTTCGACCCGAGCGGGTTTTGGACGTTTGTTGAAAGCCGCTGAAGGATATTTTGCCGCGCGAGCGAGTTAAGGTAATAGGAGCTGTCTAATGGTTTTTATTTGTCAGTGTTTTTTGAGATTTTGAGTTTCGGTACTTTACCTACAATATCTAGGGGTTTTTTTCGTGATTGGAAGGGAGTTATGATTAAATGTTTTTACTTCCTGAAACGAAACGGTGCGAAATATTTCAATGAATTTTCATCAAATTTCTTTGGAGAAACCCTCTAGAAAAGGTTTTCTTGAGTTGTAAGACTGCAGGTTTTTTTACGGTTTTTTTTTTTTGGTATTTTAAATTTTTTTCGAAACTCCCTTCTTCAAAGAAGTAAAATTTCGAAGCGATAGCAGCTAACCATGGTTCAAAGTAGCATTACGAAGATATCGTAAATACGTGAATTGGAGGCAAACAGACAGAAACACGAAGGATAATTTGTCAATTCAAAACGTTTACCATCTAGAGGAGAAGAATAATATTGAAGTTATGACACGTTCAAGCCGGCGTTTCTCGTTTTCTTGCATGTGCACAATTAACACACACACAAAAAAAAAAAAAAAAAAAAAAAAAAAAAAAAAAATGCCACAGGAATAAACTTAAAAAAAAAAAAAAACTTCAGCAAGTTGAATTAAACCGAAAGTTTGTATCTATCTAATTGTGATGGCATATTTTGATTGATGTGCTTCAGTTGGATCGTACAATTGAAAGTACTTGATCAGTCGTTAGCGTGACACGAAACACTTAACGCATGACCAGAATAAAATGATTCAGCCTTAAAAACGTGATTCGCTTCAGCCTCTTTATCGAACGATTGCAAAACATTTTCAAGATGAACATAATTATTTTAGACTTCATCAGAATTTACTTTCCTCTAAAATCAAGTACAAAATTTTGTCGTTCAGATTAACTAAAAACAGTTCCGCCTTCGTACTATCATACGTTGCTAGTTCTCTTCACAAGAGGTGAATATTTTGTAACATTGAGCTATGATGCACATTTAGCTCAATATGTACCTATTGGATAATTTTCTGACCGCCGCGTTTCAAGAGTGTCGAATCCCCTTCATAACTTCGTGATGCAACCAGTGCTAAATCCCTCTAACGTATTCTGGCTTCGCAGAAAGGGCCGCTTCTAGCATGTCTCGAATGCGTAATCTCGTGGTGTCGTGGTTTTCGAACCCTCAACTCATATTTCTCCAATTTTAATTTTAAAAAATCATAACGTATTGTTTTTTAGGAAGTCGATTTTAGCTTAAATATATGTATTAAGACTCGAGTTGAATGTGCAAGATAACCTCCGTATAATCCATGATTATTCACTGATCAGTGGGCACACGCAAGGATTGCTATGTATAAACATTGAACATTCCTTCTGATGGTTTTTGAAGACGAGTTCTGGATGAGCAATAGTCTTCCCTCCCCAGAAAAAAAAATGTTTGTTACATTTTCTGTTCACTTTTTCTTTAATTATTTGCTTTTTTTCTACCATATTTGTCGCGTAGTTTTTACCTTTTTGGAGATCAGTAACGTTGATGAGGGAGCTCTGTAAAGAAGTGAGATCCGAAGATAAGTTTTTCTTAGCTCTCTCTTTCCAACACATATATCATATTTTTTTCAAAATAGTGATGATGAAGTTACGTTACGTTATATTTAAAGCGTTTAATTGTTACTTTACCCAAATAAATTAAGCGACTTTGATTTTCTTTAAAATTGGTGATTTATATTGAATTTTTTTATTTTTATTTTAAAAAAGTAGATCAGGATGCTGAAAGACATTTTTTTAATTTGAGGGATTTGAAATGATTTATTTCGGTGTGTCTAGTTTACCCTATAAGAACCTTTCATTTATTGGTGCCTATAGCTCTGTCATTTGCTTTACAAGTTGACGTTTTGAAGAGGAGCTACGTCAGCAAGATTAGTTCGAAATCTAAGAGGATTAAAGACTTTTTATTATAATAGAAATTATTGAAAATGGAAAACAATTCTCCGAACAAGTTTACGGAGCAAAACAGATAACTATACATCCGCAAATATGCAATCAAACTATTGAAATCGTAGCGTTGCACCTTTCGGTTTCATATAATAGGTCTGGCGCTACATTTTATTTGCTTCCTGCTCGCTCTAAAAAAAATATATTCACGTCCTAGATGTATCACACTAAATAATGCACTGATGATGCACTAAATTGTACCATCGCGGCATCTCACTTGTGATGAAGAAAAAACTTGAAATTTATTGAACAACATGAAGAAATATATTGATGAATGAAAGCAGTAAACTCCTTGAATTTTCTCAACGAATGTAATTTTAAACTTCTCATCTTAAGTTTAGTATTTAGATTTTATATCAGGAGTATAGAAATCGCCACGTCATTCAAAATTTGTCCGCAAAATATGTGAGGATCATGTTACAATGGAATATCTTTTAGTCGGCTTCATAGAAATAATCGTAAAATAATATGCACTACTTGAATTCTTCGTCGGAGAAAAAGTGTGAATGTCACACAGATCATCCAGAATGTTCGACAATGTTGAAGACGACTCTCCAAAATCGACAGAATCAACGAACTAGAAGTCCCTGATGTACCATTCAACAGCATACCACTTAATTAACTCCGGTGTCGTGAATTGGTATAATCGAATAATTGAAGGCGCGCCACTCGGAAAAAGTCCGAGGCTGCTCCTCGATCTGCCGCGCTCAGATTCCCACGTTCCACGTCCAGCTCATTTTTTTGGCTTCAGTTAACATCATTTTCTACTTCTCCTCGATAATTGACGATCAATTTTGCTGTGTTTTTCCTGTTATATCGTTTGCAAGTGGGAGTGACAAATACATACACTGAATTTAGGAGGAAAGAACTAAGTTTCCGCGTATCATTCGGAACCACTTATCACATTCAAAACGGTCCATTGCCAACTAGTAGTTTTAAAATGTTCCGAAAAACTTCATTCCTTTTTATGTTGACGGGGAATTTCAACGCGTGTAATAGTCGCATATTGTTTCCCAAGAAGTATGCTTTTCTAGGATCCGAAATCATTAATTTACCTCGTCGCTATTGAAGAGAAAAATGTTACTCTCGACAAGACAATTATTATTTCCGTATTTTCCGGAGAGAATAGACTATTGTATTTTTTTATATTGAGTTTTAACCATCAATATATCACAGGATTTTTAAACTGAGAAAAGGAAAAAAATTAATGCGGTTGCTGTGGGGTGGGTGTGGGTTTGTGTTGAAAATAAATAAACTGACAAAATGAGCATGATCACTTGCGATAATTTGAACGATTCTCGTAATATCGACGAGTTACCTTTTTTCAAGAGTCACAAATTCAGTCACAAATCCAAAAAACATTATTACAGCGCAATTTTCCTGGTCGCTTAGTTTTCAGCGTTCAATTGGAATTTTCACCTCTTTGCAGCATGCATAAGTTTTCTCTTTCAAGTTCCCTTCGTAGCACGGCCTTCAGCGCTAAACTATATGTTCTACAATGAATCAAACAATAAAAGGAGGAAGTCGAGAGATTAGCGTAAATAGTGGCTGAAGGTTAGCATGATATGTGTTAGAATCCTTGCATACTTCAACCTATCCGATTATTAATAATATTTTTCTGATAGATTGATCTTTTATACGACCGTATTGCACCTCCGTGTCCATGTTTTATTCAATCGTTGAGCTCCAGAAGTGAGAACGTCTGATTGTGTCTGTAATCGTATTAATTTGCAGGATGACAGTTAAATTTTTTAAATGAGTATACTGCGGTCTGTTAGTTTTATGATAACACAATTCCATTGCATAAATTTTACTTTTAACACTTAATTTAGTATAATTAAGTCAACGAATACTGTTATTTTTGCATTGGTGTGAAAAATTTCACAGTTCATTTTAAAATGTTCTATTGCTTTCTTCTCCAGCGCGTTGTCATGATGAAAGTTTAGCATCTACATCCCATAATCTGAATTTAAATTCTTTGAAGGTATTCATGCATCACTAATTACTGTTTCTAAATGTTTGAAATCTTTTAATAAAAGATAAAGAGATAAAAAATTCAGGTTGAAGTCGATTCAGCCAACACTGATTCCACACGCAGATTTGGTCAATGTAGCCAAGAAAAAAATCAACCGTTAAATGGGCTGCATTTTGCAATAAGGACCTATAATGTCTGGCTCATGTATAAAAAACACCTATCTTCGCAAGGAAACAAATGGCACGTGTGTTGTTTCTAAAATGAGCCAGAAATTGTAGTTCCTAATTGCAAAATGTAGTCCAAAAATGTTTGGGGCCCAATGTTGTTTTGTAACCGCACGTTTGGGTTACTATGCGTCCTATTCCCCCTATTAACGCAAAATGTAGGTTGGTTTTTCGAACTACGTAGTTCCTATTAGCATTAATACGCCAGTCTCAACTTAAAAGGGGGAAAAATTTGCACAGTCTGAGCAACAGAGCAATGCACTAATTGTGTTTTTCCTCCACGGCCGAGGGTCCCGCATGTTCCGAAAACCGGTCAGCGATGCTTGTTTGAATGAGCGCGGATTTACCTAACTGCAGAGTTAATAACCTGCAGGCCGAGGCTCCTAAAAGCAACGCGCCGGCTCCCATCCGCACCGCAATCCTCCACTCGGTGAAAAACGCACCAGGAAGAATCTCCTTACTCCAATAAAAATCTCCGCGGAGATCTGTTATTTTTCCTCACTCGGGAGCACCGCGATCGGCGGAGGACGTGGATTTCCCGCCACAGTTTATTAGTGATCGTAAAGTTGCCGATACTGATACACCTCTCGTCAACGTCATAATCTGCCGTGTCGAGGAAAAACGTCGCACGTACCTCCCCACGTTGCCAAATTTATCCCAATTAAATACGAATTTTGAGGGAAACTCTTGAATATTTGTCTTCAAATTTTTCAGGGACTTCTATCCTCCATTTTATCTGAATAATCCACCAATTTCAATAGAAAATATTCGTAACTTTTCATAAAAAATGAACGATTTAGTGGAGGAAATTTGGCAACGTTCGAGAGTTCTTGCGTCGTTTTCCCCTAGCGCGGCAGTAATGTTGTCGATTTCACATCGAGCGCGCCTCAACTCACGATTATATTTTTTCTTCTCCGCGACCTCTCGGGCTCAATATTATTAAATGGATTTACTCTCTAATTAATTCCTCTCTTGTTTTCTTTTCCAATGGGGCTCGTATAAATTTAATGTCCCAGTTATGGCGCGCTCCGGCGGGGAAATCTCCTAAGAGTGACAGCCATGAACCGACCACAATAACCGTCTTTCCGATACGAATGATTGGTTTTGAATAAATTCTGATAACTCGGAGTAAGGAGGGACAATCTCAACCGGAGGTTTGAGGTCAATCGAGTGCGCGGAGCCAATTAAGTCGTAGCTTAAGTCGCCGAGAGAGGGGGGTGAGGAGGGAAAATTTCAGCTCATAACTGGAATAGCTGCAATCATAATTTGAGGAAGGAGATAAGGACGGAGGCACTAAACTTTACGGGCGAAGCTACTCACCGCATAATTTTTCAGTGCCCTCTTATTCGGACCGCTTTTAGCAGAAAGAACCTCATTAGCTATTGCTAAATTTAAAAGGGCGATTTAGTTTTTTTTTGGAAATTGTTGTGCGTATTTTTGTGCAAATTTTAGTGAATTTTCAGCATAGTGCGAAGCGAATTCCTTCAGATTATCAAAGAAATCTTCCCATATGTTCTCTTGTATAAAATTAAATTGCCCAGTCAAATTTGGAAATTTCGGATGTGGCTTGGTTCCTTTCTGCAGGACGAGGTCCATTTTTAGTTGTTTCTTGTATTTACCATTGGTAATGCGAGAGAAGAGGTAAAGGAACATTGACGTTAGTCCATGATATTTCACACCTTCCACATCCAGAGAAGTTAAATTACGGTAATTTCAGGGGTTTTTGAGCCCTCTTCACCAAGATGCGCAACGAATTGTCCCCATAAATTGTGTAACTCTTGTTAGAACTTAGTTACACAATTTTCTCTTGTTTTTTTGACAAATTCTTTGTCCAAAAAAATGCAGTTTGTTCATTTGAACATTACGTAACGCTGAAATTAGCTCTCGCGTCACGTCATAATTGAACAGTCCGTCATTAAAATAATAAGCGGAACTGAGTGTCATGTCACTGATTTGATTCCCTAAACAAAGATTAGTTGCGCTTGCGATCAGTTATGGTATGGTCTATCTTGGTAGTTAGTTAAGGTTCTTTGCATTACGTTGTTGTTCCAGTGAAGGTTTGACGATTTGATTGGACTCGAAGCCAAAATCTCATAAAAGAAACCCAAATCTCCGTTCTTTAAACTTATACTTCACGTTTTAATTTTGACGACTGAATATTAATTTGAACGGGCTAAAACCTTAAAGAGAATTATTTTCAATTAGTTAAATTACTCGACGATTTTAAGCGACACAGACTTTTCTAAATTGCTTTTTTTGGCAGAAAAGTCTTATTTGCTGAGCTTGTCCAATATTACTGTTAATTAATGAATATCGAGTCTCGTATGCTTTATTCAACCTCAGTATTGTAGACTCGTACCGTACTAGAACGGCCTCAAGGTTGTCTAGTTGTGTTTGTTTGGTAGGAAAATATTTTTGATTGTGGAAACTGGTGGTACATACGTCGTTTCAAAACTGAGCCAGAAATTGTAGTTCCTAATTGCAATATTAAACCCAATTGATTGATCGACCATAGAATCTATCTCCAAAGTGGTGAAGAACCATTTTAAAAATAAACGACGGATTAATATATTTTGCTAATCTTCAAATCTCAAGGATCCAAACGCGAGCTCACGAATATTCCTGACTCATTAATTCCTCTCCATAGAAGAACATCGTGGTTTTTGATTACATTCCAACCGCATTTGACCAAACTAAACGCTGACGTGAGTCCGGCCCGTGATTCTAATACAACGTTTATTGCGACAATGCGGCCTATACGCGTTCGCATTGTTCCGTGACCACACTCAATAGTGATGTCAGAGAGGCAGGAGGTATATGGTACGGGCACACGACTGTTTTTGGTTCGTGAGACCGCGCAGCTAGGCCCGAGTGACAGATGACAGAATGAAGGATGACGTAGACGGCAATAAAAAGCAACGACAGGAGACATGCATGAGATTATTTAAAATATGCACCGAACATAAAAACCACACAATAATCGAATCGGAATGCTCGGTGCACGCCTGCAACTGTTACTGCCTCCTGATAACTCTTTTTCGACTATAAATCCTCCTCTATCGTTCCTGGTTCCCTCCTCGGTCGAAACCCAACGAGAGCGTTTTGGGATGAGCCCCGAAACGCGTGTCATCTCACGGGTTCCAGGGTTCATCCTGAAACCGGTGCCGGCGCTGACACGCTCCAAGTTCAAGTGTCTGAACCCGATTGTAAAACAAGGTGTGGAAACCCGTACACACGCACTTGGTGCCCCTCGGACTCCGCACAACAACCGATTCGACACAATTGAATTATCCAAATCGTGCAGCGAGCACCAACAGCCGATATTTATTTGGTCAACCTCGTGTAACATCGGTCGAGGAAAAAAAGGAGACCCCTTCAAACTCAATCAAGCTCAGTGAAGTTCGCTTGTTGGATGTTCGGCGATTCCTAATCGGTACATTTATAGCATGGCTCATTTGGACGTGTTTTTGCTAAAAGGAACTATATCACACGCAAACCCTATGCACATAGCTCCTTTTAGCGTAAATTTGTTCATTTTGACTCTGATTCCGAGCGATTATATCTCGAGACAATCGAACGATAATTAATTGCACGTGTCGCAGTAAAAAGGGTGCGATGTTTTTGTGTTCGGGGACTGGTCCGTAACTCGGAGAATCAATCCTAAAAAGTTGGTGTCGCGCCATTAATTCGTTCCTCAAAACCAAGGCGAAATACGTGCACGCCTCTCCTGCCGTGCTAAGGGAAAACGCCGTATGAACTTCCAGATGTTGCCAAATTTATCTTGACAAATCAAGAAATTTCTGGAGAATTTGTAAATATTTATCCTCCGATTTTTCAGACAAATTTCTTCGTAATTTGATATAAAGTGTCTGAAAATTTCAAGGGAAAATATTCATAACTTTCTTCAAACATACGTATTTTCTGAGAGGAAATTTTGCAAAGTTTGAATACTCGTATGACATTTTTCCTTAGCACGGCAGTTTTTCCGACCGCATTTTATTCCTTCGAGGAGATGAAGAAGGTTTTCAATGCTAGCGACAAATTCCTTCCCCACTACTCTGACCAACACTGTCCAAAGGTGATTTTTCAGGCACTGATCTAAGTCAGAACTTGTTCAAACAGTGGGGTTTGAATGATTTTCTACAGAATTCATAGGAACCTAAACTTTTGAGTAGTAACGTGGTGGTAAAATATTGCTGGGTCCACACTTTTTTTGCGGAGAAAACAAGACCAAAAAGTTCACAAATTCCAATCGGATCCATCAATTTTGAACTTTTTGGCCTGTTTTTCCTCGCCAAATAGTGTGGGCCTAGTTGTATTTTACCACCCTGTTACTCATGTACCGGTACGCATTAGAGCTCAACATTTTTTTACTCAAATTGAAATTTTTTGCCTTGTTTCCCCCGCAAAATAGTGTGAACCCAGCACCATTTTACCACCTTGTTACTCTCGTACTTGTACTCATTAGAGCTCAAAATGTTTGACTCAAATTGAATTTTTTAAAACTTTTTAGCCTAATTTTCCCCGCCAAATGGTGTGGACCCAGCACAGTTTTACCACCTTATTACATACAGTTCGGACCATGTTTCTTGGTGTTTTTTTCTCGTTTTGAATATTCACATAAGATTTTAATCATCAGGATCGCCAGACTGATCTAAATGTGTTTCTTTGTTTTTATTTTTCAGACTGGGCTGGACCCATCCAAAGGCTCTCAACGAAAGCTCAACTGGACCTGTACGACGGGCGTACAGTTTGGATCCACCGGTAAATGCCTCGCACACTCAAGTTGAACTGCTGTCTGTGGAATGTGATTTGCTTGTTCTTCTCCGGGGACTGAGTAACCGTAGTGGCGGACACCGTGAGATGTGCGCGAATTGAAGGAACCCTTCGGAGTCGAGTCGCCGCGGTGGTGTTGTGTTGGGGTAGGTGAACTTTTTTCGCGATTCGTTGCCCGGAAGCGAGGAAGATAAATGCGGACAAATCCTCGGGTTCCCGCTTGGAGTGCGAGTGTTCGGGGGTGTCGGGTTGGCAGCGGTCGGCTGCGCGGTAGGATTGATGTGGCCGGGTGAAGTGTGCTGTGGTCGGATGGGCCCTCTGTGCCTGTCTCGCACCTAAGCCCCCCTGGATGCGGCTAATTTTGAACACGTAAGTTTCCTCACACTATGTTTTTGTAACCTACACTGAAAAAAAAAAAAAGCTTTTAAATTTGCCACCAAGAAATATTTTTTCTTGAATTAGGGATGATAATTCGATGGCTAAGGGACAGCAACGCCGATCTGCAAACTGACAATTTTGCAGGTCAAAGCAGAAACCTTGCCATTTTTGTAATTTTGAGACTTGATTTGCAATTTTTTGAACATCGAAACGTCTTTACAGCGCTCCTATGCGGAATTGAAATAAACTCTACACTGAAAAAAAAAGTAGCTTGGATCAAGCATGATAATTCTTGAATTTGCCGCCAAGAATTTTCTTTATCTTGCTTTAAGCTAACTTTTTTCTTGATTCAAGAAAAATAATGTTTGGGTTAAGCAGAAAGGTAGCTTATATTAACCAGCAAAATTCTTGATTTAAGAAGAAATACTTCTTGGCGGCAAATTTAAGATTGAGTTTTTAATTCCGAAGAATGCGGCATAGTTACTAACTCATTTTCGCCATAATTGTCAGGTAGGCGTTACTGTTCCTTAGTCCTCATAGTAAAGCTACTATTTTGCTTAACCCCAGTGGCTTAGCTATAATACCTGCCACCCCCCTTCCTGGTGTGAGGGGGGCACGAGGGGTGCAAAAATTGAAGGGAGAAAAGACGAAAGGCGCCGGGCCTCAAATAGGGGTGAAGGGAGCAAAGAGCCCTAGTTACGCCACTGCTTAACCCAAGCATTTTTTTTCTTGTTCCTGGACAAATGAGATCGAATTAAGTTTTAAAAAAACTCTTGGTGGTCAATTTTAAATATTTTGCATGCGCGCACTGTAATCTTCGTACGGTTTTACCAGTTAAAACTCTCCTCAGTCAGTCGAGCTTTTGTGCAACAGACCCATTCCCTCCGATAAAAATGAAACTGCATTTATTTTGAGCTTCACCATAAAACACTTTTAAATTTTCTCTCTGGTGCTTCAACTCCAGGGCTACACGCTCTAAAACGTTTTGTCACCGAGGGGCAATTGAAATGAGCGGAAGGGTGGCGGGAGGGTCAAGCTAAATTTTGTTAGCGAGGTTAAGTCGGGCACAGAACTCCATCGACACGGATTTATCAAAGAGCACACCTGGTGCAGAGTGAGAACCGGAGCCGTCAAACGCAGATTCGCCGACCGTATTGTCTCGTCACAGAAAAACCGCGTAAGAACCTTCGCACGTTGCCAGATCTTCTTAATAAAAAACCTGTTTCCGAGGAGGGCTATGATTGTTTCTCTTTGAAATTTTCAGATACTTAGGATTTAATCGAAAATAAAATTCTCTGAAAAATTGGAAGGAAAAGATGAAAAAATTAACCAGGAAACCTGTGTTTTACCGAAGGAAATTTGGCAACGTTTGAGGGTTTATAAGTTGTTTTTTCTTAGCGAGGTAGCGTAGGGGTCGCAGCGGTGAGAGGCGTGAAAAAACAAAACCGAGAGGCGCTCGAAAAACACGCTGGGTGGCTAAGAGTGGCCTCTGGAGGTGCAGAACCGCACTCGCCCAAACGGAAGTTTCGTTAATTAACGGTGCCAATCGAATAATATAAATATTTGACGAGGAAGAGGAAGAATAGGCTCGGCCGCCGAGGGAGGGGGAGGGGGAGAAGGCAGCTGGTACTGCACTTGAGTCGCGGGTGGCGGGAGGGCAAATGAACTCGTGTTTTTACAAAAGGGAACATGTCCATTGTTGGATGAGCCACGAAACTGGTAAGGACATATGTATTTTAAGGCTCGACAGAAAGTAGGCGTGTTCTGTTTGTGAAAATATGGGCTCGAATGCGGATTAACGAGCGGTGATTGTGTGACCCGCGATCGCATCTGTCGAGAGTGTTATCAATACGAAAACACCTTGCAGAGTGCACAGAGCGCTGCACAGTGCGTAGCTCCCGTCTCATAGGTTGACTCATGGCTCTGCCACCAGACTCCCCGCAGCGTTGAAAAACTCGCCTACTCCACGATTGTTCCCTGTGGACGACTAGGCGAATTTTCTGCGAAAAACGGCAGGGCTGTTGGATGTTGTCCCGGCGGCGCTGTAAAAATTCGCCTTCCGTATGGGGGTTTTTTATGGGGGATTCGGCTGATCGGCGGCACCGCGAAACGCACCCACTTTGCACTGGTTCCGATCCTAATCGTCGGAAATCACGACATTCCTCGTCCTGACTGCCGATTTATCGTCGCTTGTGAATGGCGAAATTGCGTCGGCATTTATCACGGGCCTAAGTGGTCGAGGAAAGCGAGCGTGGGACATGCCCGATATCGGGGGATCCATCAATATCGATCGGTATCGAGGCGGGTTCTCGACGAGGACGACTTGACCGATCGATCGTCCGTCGTCAAGTCGTTCGGATGTCCACCGGGTATCGGACATCTAGTTCGCAGGGCGATACATCGCAGAGATTCAAAGTCGAATTACCACGTGACAGAGTAGAATCAAATAAGTTTTGCTCTTGGAGCCATCGTTTTTTAAAAAAGTGACTTTAGTTATTTTAAGACTTCAGCATGTTTTCTGAAGTCCTCATACTCTATGAAAGTCGATTTTAATAGTGGTCAATCTTCGTTTTCAACAGAAATTTTTTTTTGGCCTCTTTTATCACTGGAAGTTAAATTTTTTGTCCGTACCGTAGACCAACTAAACAGGCATGTTTTACTATCAATAAGTGCGATAATAATACCGTTTTAAGTTTTTTTGCATTCATTGAGCTATATTCTTGTAGAAGAATAAAACAAAATACCCTTCAAAGTTTTTACTTTCAAAATTTAGCCCCCAAATTGCTCTAAAGTCCGATTTCTAGAATTTTGCGCCATCATTTTTCTCCTAAGAAAGCTAGGAAATGTAATTAAACGCTTAATTTTAATTAATTTCTTTAGAACTAACTTAGAAGATGTGGTAGACAACTTTTTTAAAGAATTTCTACAGGTATGCTCTTCTTAAAGCTACAAATTGTACAATTTTTTACTGGTCTACGGTACGGACAAACGGGCTACGGTAAGGACGAAGAGGCATTCGTAAATATTACTGTATGCAAGGGC